CAGCAAGCAAAAGGTCAGAAGCCAAGAGGCAAGACAGTACATAATTGGGAGTAGTCATGGGAATGCACACAAGGTCTGGAGGGTAAACGTGTTTATGACGGTGTGAGGTAGGGATGTGGAGGGCTGCAGGTGGTGAGAGATGAGCTTATAGACGTGAATGAGAAAGAGAGAGGCAGACTAAAGATTCACCATTCACTCACCAGATGTGTGCTCAGCACCTACCAGGCACTGGAGGCTGAAAATTTAACTGTGAACGAGACAGACAAGGGCCTCTGGTTTTGGGTCCCAGTTCTCAACCAGGGGTGTTTGTGCCCTTCTCCCATTTCAGCAGATATTTGGCAATTTCTGGAGACTTTTTTGCCCTGTCCTTACTGTGGGTGTGCTATGGACATCTGTCACACAGAGGTCAGGAATGCTGCTACCCATCCTACAGCACATTGGCTGGCCCTTGAGACTGAGATGATCCAACTCAAAACAAGAGCACTGAGGCTGAAACATCCTGGTCTAGTGGAGAAGAACAGAAAGCACAAATGAACAAATAAAGGATAAATAGACCTAGTGACACCAGATGCTGGAATAGGAAATGAGGTTGGGTGGGTAGGGAATGGGCAGAAGACTATGGTTAGATGGATATAAAAGGCTCTCCATGAGGAAGTGACCTTTCAACTAAGAATAAAAGGTGAGAAGGAACCCACCATAGGAGGACCTTTCTAAGCAGAAGGAACCACAAGTATAAAGGCTCTGAGGAGGATGTGGACTTGGTGCACTTGAGGCTTGAAGGAGATGGAGGTGGCTTGAGAGTAGGTGAGAGACAGGGGACCCTAAGGAATACTGAGTCTCTTCAATCAGTCAGGAGTCCAGAGTTAATTCAAGAACAGTGAGTAGGATAGAGGGTTTTTAGTAGAGAGTTTCATTAGGTATTTTCTGTTTTAAGAAGAAAACACTCTCTCTCTCTCTCTGTACAATGGCAGGTGTGACCCAGGTAAGCTTGAACACGGTGGAGAATCAGGTGGAGATTACTGAGGATGGGCAGTAGCACTGAAGCCAGAGAGGGGCCTGATTCTGGATCTGTTTTGGGAGTGGAACTTAAGAACCTGCAGTTCAAGGATGTGGGTCAAGCTGGGAGCTGTCTGCATAAAGACAGCATTTAAAGCCAGGAGCAATGTATGAAACCATCCAAGGATGAGACTGGAAATGGTGTGTCATCCTGAAGAGCTGTATTTTATCTTTAGGCCAGTGCAGAGGGATTGAAGGGTCTCTCTCAGGTGAAGTGGGGAGAAGGTCTACAGGGCCAGAACTGAGGCTGGACATGAGTTCCAGGCCATGACAGTGATTCAGACTCAACATGGCCATAGACTGAACCATAGTCATGGTAATTGGGAAGAGGGGGGTGAAAAATGGTTGGCTGTGGGAAAAGCAGAGTGAGAATTTCCTGGCCTGGAAGCCATGTGGGCCGAGCTATGGACCAGGCCTCTGGAATGCAGATTTCATTCTATTGCTTTCCACAGTTCCCTGAGGAGAAATGTCTATGGCCTGTGGTTTACCAGGAGGGTTGGACCTGATGCCCCTGTGCCCGCTCGCTCCCTTCCTCATCAGAGGAGCCTGTTTCTGTGGTTGCATCCCCTTGGGGAAACAGGACGACTGCCTCCCTCCCTTTAGTCACATGGAGTCCTCATTCTGCCCATGTCTCTGCAGGGACCCATGCCTGCCGGCATGCTGATCGAGCGCTCCTCTGACTTCGGCAAGACCTGGAGGGTATACCAGTACCTGGCTGCAGACTGCACCTCTGCCTTCCCCAGGGTCCGCCAGGGCCAGCCTCAGAGCTGGCAGGATGTTCGGTGCAAGTCCCTGCCCCAGAGGCCTAACGGGCACCTAAATGGGGGAAAGGTAGGTAGAGAGGACCCTGAAAGGGTAGGTATGGGGAGATTATCTGATGTTCCATAGTTGAAGGCATGTGAACACCCTTGGTCAGCTTTCCTGAACGCCTCAGTGATGGCCCCTCTGGCTACCCACAAGCCATATGCTGCTCATCCACGTTTCTGCCCAGGAAAGGTATTTCAGAAGCATCTGGAGCCCCAGTAATACCCAACCCTACTCTCTTCTGTCCTTTCCCCCTGTGTCTCTTTGGCACATCTCTGTAACAGAGAGGATAAAATCAGCTATGTTACAGCTGTGGACTGTGGAATGGCTAGTTGGGTGCAAGTGAGCAAATTACACAAATTTAATTTCCCCTTGATAGGCTTTAAAACAAAAATGAACTTTGTACTTTAATTCATCCATCAGGCCCAGTGGTCGTCTTTGGGGAGAAATGAAAGTGTAACCCTGAGACCCAGCTCACCTGAACTTAAAAGCTGAACTAGTAATGAGAACCTGCCTCTAGAAACACCCAGAATGTTTCTCCTACCAACTTGGATCAAATTCCATCCTTACTGCTTCTCCCCACTCCCTGGGAGGAAGTTGTGGTTTCTTTTCTCCTTTCCCTGGATGAGACACAGGGAAACCTTCAGAGCTGTTTCGCATGGCCTGAGGGCTCAGCCTATGGATTGCGCATCTTTCCTTCAGATTTAACAGGTCCTCCTTGCTTAGACCCTTTTCCAAATCTGTTACTCACAGACCCCAGATCAGACAGAGGACTTCTTCCTGTTTTGTGAAGGACTGATAGAAAAACTGTACACATAAGCTCACATGCACAGTTGAACTCACATCTAACGAATGGTTTTTATTAAATAAAAAGATAGTTGAAATTGGGGTTGTCCAGGGTGCTATGATCACCCCATCCATGCAGCCTTGGGTTCTGAACCCTCTTATTCAGCCTGGGTCATTGGAAAATGACTATCCTCTAGATCCTCATATGTAGGTTATTATGGTTTTTGACCCAAAGAAATCGGAATCCTTAGGTTATCTGTGTTTTCAGGTGGAAAGGAGAGATTGTACACACATGCACACATATGTATGCGTGTAAGTACACACATATGTGCACACATCCACTCATTTAGAACCCAATAATCCCACTGCTCCCCGAGGGCATCACATCCATGGTCTGTCTCAGGTTCCAGTTAGAAGGGCCTCAGAGTATGAATAGGGCTGGACTTGGAAGGGAAAGAAGACTTCTTTTGAGCTTGGTACACATTGCTTATCACTACTTCAACTCTTCCCTTTCTCCTCTGTCTGAAGGTCCAACTTAACCTTATGAATTTAGCATCTGAGATTCCAGCAACTCAAAGTCAAAAAGTTCAAGGTCAGTGCCAAAAAATTCGAGGTCATTGTGGCTGTTCCTCTGGCCTATGGGACTGTGAGTGGGGGCATGGAAGTTTCCTGGTCTTTCGTCTTTTGGTCAGCATGGTTGGGAGTTTATACTGGCCCTGCTTATTCCACAAGGATATCGTGTGTAGGATGCTGTGGGAGGTTGAGGGCTGGGGAGGATGGTCTCTAGCATAACATTATGAGGTGAGATCAGAATTCTCTTCCTTTACCTAGCCTGCCCTAGGAGATTATCTGTCTCCTCTAACTTCCTTCTAACATCATTCCTCTATTTTCCTTTCCCTGACCCCACCCTCCTTGCTGTTTGCCTCTTTTAGAGCTGGGTGAGATCACAAACTTGAGGGTCAACTTCACCAGACTGGCCTCCGTGTCACAGAGGGGCTACCACGCACCTAGCGCCTACTTTGCTGTGTCTCAGCTGCGTCTGCAGGGGAGCTGCTTCTGTAACGGCCATGCTGATCGCTGTGCCCCCAGACCCGGAGCCCCTGCAAGCCCCTCCACTGCTGTGCAGGTGACAGCCCAGGATGGGAAGAGCAGGGGGTAGGGGGTGGGGCCAGGGAGACTGAGGACATTCTTGAGGCTCTCATAAAGCAAGGAGGGTACTATATTTAAGATGAGTATATAATATTTCAACAACAGAAACAATTTTACATTACTGTCATTTTTTTGGGGGGGAGAGGTTTTTTTTTTTGTTGTTGTTGTTTTTGCTATAGGGCACGTGCACTCGCTAGACAGAGAGACAGAGAGCAAAAAATCACCCCCCAGGGGGGATAACCACGCTGCAGTCTCTTCTCCTCCATTCTCCTCTCTGGATCTTGGGCACGCATACACTCGTGCCGGCATGAGTTTAAGCCACCGGGTCTGGAACTTGAACCACAGTCGACTACATGGGATTCCACCAATGTAGCCAATATGCTAACTGCTGGTCCCACATTGCTGTCATTTTAAAAATCAAATTTTTGTAGTACATTTTTGTGGGTGGCCTGCCATACTTTGGAATGGTTTCAGTTTTCAGTTACATGTAAGTATATGTGTGGTTATTGGGGGAGTTAAAGGCAAACCTTGGCTACGTATTATAATTTCATGGGGAGATAAAAATGATTTGCCCAGACCTCTTCCCTTAGTTACTCTGATTTTATTATTGGTTTTTAAAACTCGAGGTGATTCTTTCTCATGCTCTTTTATTTTTTTTTTAAGAGAGATTTTTTGCTCTAGGGCACGTACACTTGCCAGAAAGACAGACAGAGAGAGAGAGAAAGAGAGAGAGAGAGAGAGAGAGAGAGAGAGAGAGAGAGAAAGACACATAGTGAGAAATCACCCCCTAGGAGATGGCCATGCTGCAGTCCCTTCTTCTCCATTCTCCTCTCCATTCTCTTCTTAGCACACACACACATGCGCCTGGTGTGAGTTTTCAGCCTCCGGGTCCGAGACTCGTACTGCGGTTGCGGTTGACTATGTGGGAGTCCAGAGATGTAACCATTATATCATCTGCTGACCCTAAAACTTGAGGCGATTCTAAGGTACTTTCAGAGTTGGCAGCCACTGACTTAGGGGTTCAAAGGTCTCATCTCATGGTGAGGTATGGCATGAGGTGAGAGAAGAATGTTTGGTGCAGACGTCAAATCTATCCTGGACCAGCTGAATCAGATTCCGCGGGGATGATGATTGAGAAGTACCAGTTTGGGACAGCAGATGGTGAAATGTATGTCCCTGGGCTCCCACGTGTGTGACTGTGGTACAAGTCCCGGACCCAGTGACTTTAAACTCACTCTGGGTGCATGTGTGTGCGTGCCCAAAATCCCGAGAGGAGAATGGAGAAAAGATTGTAGCATGGCCGCCCTCCTGAGGGGTGATTTCTCACTTCTGTCTCTCTGTCCCTCTGGTGAGCACATGCACCTACAGCAAAAAAATCTCTGGGGAAAGAAGTCCCAGTTTAACAAATTCTCTAAGGAATTGCGCTATAAATCCACAAATAGACTGGGAACCTTAGTCCCTTGGGCAGAAGCACCTATCACTTCACTGTTCTGGGGGTTCAGTTCTTCCATCAACGTTTGTCCTAGTGACAGATGGCCAAGAGGAACACATGTCAAATGGCCTGGGAGGGACATACAGGTGAAGCGAGCCTTGGTCAGTTTTGCTCTGTCTTTGTGCAGTTTACTGGGGCCCAGAGAACACGGAGCCAAGTGGGACTCCTGACAGACAAGGATGTAGAGGAGGAGAGATCCACTTAGTCCTGGGGCTTCTCAAATCTGGCTACACCCAGACTCACCACTGGGAAAATTTATTTGTTATGCTGTAATGATACACAGTGATTGAATGTAAACAAATAATTAAGTCATGCTACAAAAGGTACCGATACCTGGGCCTTATAACATGGGACTAGGCTAAGCTGCCCCTGGGCACTGGTATTTAAAAAAATGCTCCCCAAGGGATTGTGAGGTACAGCCAGGGTTCAGGGCAATAGACCTGGAGGGACCAGGCAGTCTGATAAAAGCAGCCAATTTAGCTAGAGCTTAATGGGCAGGATGTGGCTGGAGAGAAGGTCATTCCAGGCAGATGGAAAATCATCTGTATAGGCTGAGAGATGGGGAAAAGCGGGGGTCAGACGAGGAGCAGCTAGGAATTCAGCTCGCCATCACTGAGCCACAGGCGGGGTGTTGGAGATGGGCATGGAGCAGACAATACAGCCCTTGAACGCCGACATTGCTGGGCCAGTTTGGAAGGTAATTAGCATACGATAGCTATTCTGTGCGGATTCCGAAATGAGTCTAGTAGCAATTCATCATGAAAGTCCCATTAGCTAGCAACTGTAGTCATGGATTGTTAGGCTGTCAATCTCCAGAGGGCCCATTGGCTTCTGGAATCACAGCTTACCGAGAGTGTCTGAGAACGTTCTGGGTGCTGCCATGGACTGGACATGATGGAGTGTCCATGTACAGAGAATGAGCCTGTAAATCCTTGCTAGAGGAGTAGTACAGACACGCACACATGCACACACACGTGTGCTTACACACAGAGAAAGCTGTGTGAAGTCTGGACCATTCAGGGAAAGCGTCTGGAAGGGCTGGGGTCTGTGTGGTAGGTGGGAGGGCCTGAGGGGAGGGACCCTCCGTGGCTTGGAGGGCTCCTGGTGACAGCGGCCCTGTCCCCCCCATCCACTCTCAGGTCCATGATGTCTGCGTGTGCCAGCACAACACCGCCGGAGCCCACTGTGAACGCTGTGCGCCCTTCTACCACAACCGGCCCTGGAGCCCTGCGGAGGGTCAGGATCCCCACGAATGCCAAAGTACGAGGCTAGGATCACCTTCCTCCCCTGCAGAGACTGGCAGGGTGCCGGCCCCTGGGCCTCACAGATCTCACCTGAGACACAGGAGAATCTGTTTTTTATGATTTACATCTAAATCACATTGCGCCCCTGCAGTTTCAGCTCTCCTTGCTCTGAGAGCAGAGAGAACTGGGGTGGCATCCTTCCACTGCCCCTGCCCCTGCCCTCCTCCTCAGCCAGGCCTGGAGGCACCAGACTTGGTCATGCTTCTAATCCCGTGCGGCCCTCACTGTATCCCCGGAGCCTCCTTCTCCTGGCGCGGCAGTTGCCTGGCCCAGTTCAGGAGACACCTATTGGGTTGTTGCCATGACGTGTTTTTCTATGCAGTTATTGTGTCATGACTTCCAATGACCCAGTCGTTTCCTATTGTCATTGTTTACTTCACACGACACCCTGGGGTCAAGAATTTTGCGTGAATGAGGGAGAAGGGTCCTCAGCCCCCAGAGAGGCAGTGACCCAGCGGAAGTCCATAGTGGCAAGGTGGCAGGGAGAGTGGGGGACAGACTATTGAAAGGGCTTTCCTGGTGGCCAGATGGCAGTGCAGTTAGAGCATGAGGCTCAGTGAAGCAATGCCATGGCAATGTCAAGACCCTATTGGCAGTGCATCTTTTCTCTCTTGCTCATGGAAGAAATATATCAACTTTTTCTGTTCTTCTTAGAAAGTTCTTTCTCTGGCCCAGCACGGTCAGTATTCTCAGGTTTATTCCCATATTTACTGATCATGTAACTTTAAGTATGTGACACAAGCCTCCCTGGGCCTGTTTCCTCAGTTCCCCATCCTGAGCATCTTGTGGACTGGGAGGGGCCAGTGAGCCATGGTGGCGGTTGCTCTGTAGACAGCAGAAGTGCTGGTCAGGTGCCAGCTCTGGACTTGTTTTTTTCCAGGGTGTGACTGCAATGGGCACTCAGAGACATGTCACTTCGACCCAGCTGTGTTTGCTGCCAGCCAGGGCACACACGGAGGTGTGTGCGACAATTGCCGGGACCACACAGAGGGCAGGAACTGCGAACGGTGCCAGCTGCACTATTTCCGGAACCGGCGCCCGAGCGCACCCATTCAGGAAGCCTGTATTCGTGAGTCAGGGGTCTGGGGACCCAGGGTGCCGTCTGTTCTGGCCACACAGAGCATACATTCTGGGAGACACTAAGGTCCTCAGGGAGAATGATTGTGGGTCAGGTCTTGTGGGGATAGTTTCAACTTCGCTGTGACTAAGGAAGTCACTGAACTTCTCTGGCCCATCCATCAATCAGCTAACCAATCAATAGATAGCCCTTATTTTGGGCATAGGAGAGAAAAAAGTAGATGTAAGGTATAGTTGGTGCCCTTGGGGAACACACACTGGGACGCACACACTATTTGGTAGAATAAACCAGACACACGAAGAAGAGAGACACCTGCACTTTGCGCATCCATGCTGTCACCATAACCATGTCGTCTAGAGGATTGTTTATTTTTTTCCTCCTCCAACATAGAAAACTTATCCATGTCAGGGACTATGTCTTAGAGACTCTGCCCCTAGCACAATGGCTGGCAAGTCAGCGATGCTCAAGGTTATTTATCGAATGACATGGAATAGAACACCTCCAGGCAGCTTAACATGCCCAGAAGGGCCAACGAGTTCATGTAAGAGAAAGCAAATCTGATTTGGGCAGGTTTGATCAGGAAAGACTTTCTGACAATAATCCCCACATTTCAGAGTTGTCATGAAGATTATATGAGGCGGGACCAGCAGTTAGCGTAATGGCTATGTCGCTGGACTTCCATGTAGTCAACCGCGGTTCGAGTCCTGGACCTGGTGGCTTAAACTCATGCCAGGCGCGTGTGCATGCGTGCCCAAGATCCCGAGAGAAGAATGGAGGAGAAGGGATTGTGGCGTGGCCATCCCCCCTAGGGGGTGATTTCCTGCTTTCTGTCTCTCTGTCTCTCTCTGTCTGTCGGGCGAGCGCATGCGCCCTATAGCAAAAACCTCTCCAAAAAAAAAAAAAAAGATTATATGAGGCAACATCTGAGCATGCTCACTTCAGTCCTTAGCACATAGTCGTTGCTCAGTAAATAATGACAAGAAAAATACTTCGGTCATACTTCTTATTGTAACTTGTGCCAGGTACTGTTCCACTTCATTTATTCCTCGTAAGAAGCCTGCAAGGGCTGTATATTTTTAAAAATCATTTTATTTAACTTTATTTATTTATTATTCATTTATTTGTTTCAATTTGACCAGAGAGAGAGAGAGAGAGAGAGAATGAGAAAGCAAGCTGTAAGGTCCGGGACTCGAACTGCAGTCGGTCATTTGAGAGTCCAGCACCCTTAACCACCAAGCCACCTGCCGGCCCCACAAGGGCTGTATTAATACCTGTATTTTGCAGATGAGAACACTAAGGCACAAAGGGGTTCAGTATCTTGCCCGAGTTGTATGAGCGAAAGCCATGGTGGAACAAGGATTTGAGCTGGACTGTCTGGCTCTCAGAATCTGCCCTGAGCTTTCTCCTTTTCTTTGTTCCTATCATGGCGGCTGCTTTTGTCTCTCAGCCTGCGAGTGTGATCCAGATGGAGCAGTGCCAGGGGCTCCTTGTGACCCAGTGACTGGGCAGTGCGTGTGCAAGGAGCATGTGCAGGGAGAGCGTTGTGACCTGTGCAAGCCGGGCTTCACCGGACTCACCTACGCCAATCCGCAGGGCTGCCATCGTGAGTAGGGGCCTGGCCGGCCTGTTGTGAGGTAGGCTCAAGGGGAGGGGGGAGGCGGGTGGGGGATAGGAGAGCACAGAACAAGTCTTTCCACTCACTGCTCTCAAGAGGAAATCCTACCCCAGGGGCCGGTGCTGTGCCATGGCTGTCCAGCAGGTGGCAGCACAGGCATAAGCTGCAAGGTGGGACTGAGTCAGCCAGAGGGAGCCTGGGCAGGCGAGTGGCCAAGCTGCAGGTGGCTGAATCTAGTGGGAAAGCACAGTGGCCATGTTATCTACAGGGGATGGTCCTGCCCAGTTCCCCTCCCAGGTGGGGCCCTCCCTGGATGTGTGTCCTGGGTGAGTCTGTTGCAGGACGTCTGCCTGAGCTCAGCAACCTTCCCCTCCTAGGCTGTGACTGCAGCCTCCTGGGCTCCCGGCAGGACATGCCGTGCGACGAGGAGAGCGGGCGCTGCCTGTGCCTGCCCAACGTGGTGGGCCCCAAGTGTGACCAGTGTGCTGCCTACCACTGGAAGCTGGCCAGCGGCCGGGGCTGTGAGCCGTGTGCCTGTGACCCACGCAACTCCCTCAGCCCCCAGTGCAACCAGGTAGGAGCAGAAGAGGAGCCCTGCCCACAGCATCCCTATCTGGGCTCCCTGCCACCCTCTGGGCCTTCCCACAGTCAGGCCAAGATGCTTTTGTCTCTACCATCCTTTGGGGGTGGTTACCAGATGTCTATGGCCCCCTCTGGGCCTTGCCAAGACTTCAGGGCAGGGCATCAGCACTGCCCGCAGCAGGGAGCCCAGATTCTGTCTGCTGACATGTCCCGGTACTGGTACTGGGAGGATCCCCTGATGGTGCTCTCCCCTACCCAGTTCACAGGGCAGTGTCCCTGTCGGGAAGGGTATGGAGGCCTGACCTGTAACGCCGCAGCCATCCGCCAGTGTCCGGATCGCACCTACGGAGACATGGCCACGGGATGCCGAGGTACGCACCGACTGCGTGGGGGAATGAGCCAGGGGTGGCTGTGTAGTGGGGGTGCATTGGCCAGCGCTGTGACACTAATGCATGGGTGTGGCCCCAGAAGCCCTGTGAGTGCATACACTCCTGCGACACTGTCTACCCTCTACCCAGTTGATGTGTCCTTCTCGCCCCTGGGCAGGCTGACTGTCCCCATATCTCATGACAGGAGGGTCACCTTGCTCCCCCCTTCCCTGACAATGAGCCTTTACTGGAAGGCATCTGCAGGACAACAGCAGGGAGCTTCTCTTCCCTTTTTGCAGACAGAGAGTCTCAAGGGGAAATGGCGTAATTTCCCAGAGAGCTCGTTCGACATGGAGCCTCAGAACAGTACCTGGCATGTGGCAGGCGCTGAGGGCCTGCTTGCCTTCACTGCTGTTGCTATCCTGGTTTTTACCAGCGTGAACATCTGCCATTCTAAGACACGTAGCAGGGCCCCCAGGTCAGACCTCCTCTTCTCTCCACTCTTAGCTCTGGCCTCAGCCTCTGACGATCATTTCTCTCCATCCTAGCCTGTGACTGCGACTTCCGGGGAACAGAGGGCCCAGGCTGTGACAAGGCCTCGGGCCGCTGCCTGTGCCGCCCTGGCTTGACTGGACCCCGCTGTGACCGGTGCCAGCGAGGCTACTGTGACCGCTACCCAGTGTGTGTGGCCTGCCACCCTTGTTTCCAGACGTATGAGGCAGACCTCCGGGGGCAGGCCACGCGTCTCGGCAGCCTCCGCAACGCCACTGCCAGCCTGTGGTCTGGGCCGGGTTTGGAGGACCCTGGCCTATCCTCCCGCATCCTGGACGCAAAGAGCAAGATTGAACAGATCCGAGCGATTCTCAGCAGTGCCTCGGTCACAGAGCAGGAGCTGGCCCGGGTGGCCAATGCCATTTCCTCCATCAGGTGATCCCTCTCCCTACCAAGCATTTAGAAGAATTATGCTGCATAGGCTCGTATGGAGTCCCAGGGTCCTCCCCTGCATCTGTGCTACTTACTGCAATTTATGAGGCCACGCACATGGGCTCGATCTCCTGGCTCTCACAATAGTCCTGTGAGGCTGGGGCGGTGGGTGGTCTCCATTGCATTTGCAGACGGGGAAACCGGCACAGATAGGTGAAGTGTTGGAGCCACATGGCCACTGAGGGACTGGGCTGGGACTCGGAACACAGGCCCAGATCCCAAACCCTGCATTCTTGCAAGTGCCGGGCACTGCCCATTGGAGACTCAGTCTGCATTAGTCACCCCAGCGGAGGGCATCTGAGAGGCAGGGCTCTAAAAATAACTTGGATTTGCCTTCAGAGTGGAAGCGCTCCCACCCTCACCCCCTCCCACCATCAGCAGTACCTTCTAAGTGAGATTCAATTCTGGAAGTTTCTATAATTAGTTTGCATTCCCTGAGCCTTGGCTGGCTGACAGTGAGTGCACAGGGCCTATAGGTGTGTGATTGGCGGCCGGGAAAAGGCAGCCTGGGAAGAATGAACGGAGGCTCCGTGACTCATGGTTGTGCTAGAGCCTCTGGGGGCTGTGGCAGGGGAACGTGAGTGAATGCCGGGATCATTCATTCACTCGTCACTCCACATATGTTCGAGCATCATTCCGAGCCATGCATTATACAAGCGATTGGGGATATTACAATTAATATGGCCCCTGCCTGTAAGAGGCTGGAGTTGGGAAGCCAAAGTATAGAGAGTGAGCTCTCATGTGAACATGTAAGAGCGATAGACAGTCCCAGCTTTGATGGTGCAAGTGGGAGGGCCCTGTTATGTGGTAGCCAAGGCCGCTTGGGAGGTCCAGGTTCAATTCCTGGCTTGACACAAATAGATGGGGAGAAATGAAGTTTGCTTGTGTGTAGCTAACTGGGAGGCAGAGGCAAGAGGCTTGCAACACAGCAAGACACTACCAGAATACCTCTCTCCCTCCTGCTTTCTCTCTCATTAGAGAGAGAGAGAGAGAGAGAGAGCGCTCTAATAATGCGGTGGTGTGGCAGACTTCCCAGGAAAGGTCTCTTCTGACCTCGATCTCGGAACTGGGGGGTCAGTCCACAGGCTGGAAAGGCAGGCATGAAGAGGTGTGCCTTGCCTGAGCATGCCCAGAGGTGGTGGACGTGAGACTTGCAGGAAGGGGTTGGTGGGTGCTGGAGCTGCAAAAGGCGTGGAGAGAGGGGACTATCCTAGACTGTCCGGAGCCTCTGTGTGTGGCATGATCAGCAGGTCACAGTGGTGGGGTCTGAAGTGTGGACCACAGA